CCCCTTGTTTTCAACTAAAGTCCCTATAGTGTTTGTTTTTACTCAACTGACCCAGTTCTTCCAGTAATTGGATGCGAATCTGACTCGTCACCAAGCTTGGCTCGTTTCTAACAGGTTTTGCATGTACTGTGAATGTGAAAGATTTTCCTTATGAAAGAATACAATGGCAGTACTGTGGTATACTATAAATTACAAACAGAGCTGGGTAGATTGTAATCCGTTACATTTTTTACGTTACATTTCATTACAACATTATGTTACATCAAGGTTTCCCAAATTGGGGTTCGTAAAGATACTGCAGGGAGTTTAATGAGTTAATCCTTCATTAAATCATACAAATTTCAAATTTAAATAACATAAATCGAAATAAAACAATGAAATATTTGTTTACCTGCATGACCGTTAACAATGTCAAAGAACCGTGAACATGCAAATGTGATACTTAATTATTAAATATTTATTTTAAAATCTCAGGGGTACATTACATAAATATATTTGGTCAAAGATATTCGGTTGACAAACAAGTTTGGGAATGCCTGCATTACATGTAAATAAGAAATAACGTGAATGGGTGCATTTTAAAGGGGTCATATGAAGTGATTTACATTTTTCCTTTCTCTTTGGAGTGTTACAAGCTCTTGGTGCATAAAGAAGATCTGTAAAGTTGCAAAGACTAAAGTCTCAAATCCAAAGAGATATTCTTTATAAAAGTTAAGAGTCAGCCACGCCCCCCTAAAACGGCTCATTCTAACACGCCCCCACATATCTACCTCACTATGTGGGAAGAGACATGGTTTTATGTTTACGCGGCGCGATGCAACCCATAAAAAGACAGTATAAGTTATTATAATCAGTAATTATGTCCCCACTGGATGTAACAAATGCCTCGTTTATAATGAGTTTTAATGTTTTTGTCTCGTCGCTCCGGCCGGACAGGGCATCACAGTATGGTGAGGGGCGTAACATTTCCGTCACACGCTTGAGGTATTCGGCCAATCACAACGCACTGGATAGCTGGCCAATCACAGCACACCTCGCTTTTCAGACCGATGAGCTTTGTAAAAATCGGGCATAGATGAGAAACAATAATGTACAGTATGTGGAAAATAATGTGTTTTTTTTTACCTTAAACCGCATAAACACATTTCATTACACCAAATACACAAAATAATGTTCTTTTTAGCAGCATCATATAATTCCACCTTTAATGCGTTTGAAAGACAAAGGTCTTCCAAAGACATCAAATAATCTACTGAGTGATAATTCAACTAAAAATGCATGTGTTCATCAGTAGTTGAAGCAATGTTGAAACACCTGAACTAGTGACTGTCCACACAACTGGCTATTTCAGAAAGGAACCTTTAAAAGATGAAAAAGCGGAATTTGGGAGAAACAATATACTGTATTATGAATAATTTGCTGCTATTGTGTGAATAATATGTAATCATGCAATCAGTAAAAAAGTAACTGTAGTCTGATTGGTTACGAGTATTATAAAATGTAATTTAATCTAATTACAAGTACTTAATTTTTGGAATCTGATTAAGTAATCCAGATTAAATGTAATCAGTTATCCAACTCTGATTACATACCATACATATAGTATGGTACCTAATCATTCATTACCATAGTATTTCAAAGTACAATGTGATATCAGCACTGTACTGTTATAGTTGCATTCCCCTTGGACATATATAAAGAAAATTAACCTGTGTTTGAAGCACGTGCCATTGTTTTTACATTGTTTACAACCACGTAAAGGCAAGCTAATGTGTATCCATTTATCTTTCCACCTCTGTCACACTAGATTGCACATTCAGACATATGAAATCCAGTTTAAGGATTAACTGCCCTCGCTGGTCAACATTAAACCTGAGGCACTTTGACCATTTGTTATATCCAGCGTGTTACACTAATAAAACCCCAAGAAACTCACGTACACGCTATTAATCTTGCTTCTAAAGCACTTATGAGTGCATAACTCAAGAGTTTATGCACAATCACACCAAGATTTATCACAGCCGTCTAAGTGTGTGTGCGCGAGTCCTTCATAAGCACTTTCCCTGAGTAGGGTACACAAAGAATCGGTTGTGTCACAGAAACACCACACACAGTGTGAAATCCAGTGCTCTGATGAATGCGTCCAAAGGTTAAGGACTTACATTCTGCATTGTTAAAATCCACAAATTCTCTACTGAAAAAACGTTTAAACAATGCAACGGGATTTTATGCAATTAAAGAGGTAGTCCGTCCAAAACTGAAAATTGTGTCATCATTTTATGCTTTTTTTTTCTTTTGTGGAGCACGAAAGATGACATTTAACCAAACCGTTTCGGCTTCCATTCACTTCCTTAGTACTCCATTGTCTATAATATGGAAGTCAATGGGACCCAAAAACATGTGGTTGCCGACATTCTTCAGAATTGTAATTTTTGGGTAGATGATCCCTTTAAATATATGGCATATATGGTAAAAGCACAAAACGGAGTGAGAATCAGCACTACATACAAAAATGGAGTTTATTTATTGATTTATTGAACCATTTTGTGTCCAAAAGGACCAGCATGCACAATGACACACAAGTAAAATGGACTATATTCAAAAATATCCGTAATTAAGTGTAAAACGGGTGACCAGCATGAACTGTTTTCATATTTCCGATAAGCAGAAGTAAGCTACTGCAGGGTAAACTTCTGGTGTACATGGGAGACCATTGCAAACACAATTTTTCATTACCAATTGCTCAAACAGTGAGAGAGAAAAAAATCCACTGTTGCATTCCCACAACTTTTCAGAATGAGACAAAAACAGATTGAAAGTTATAGCAGAAATGAGTCATTACAGTCTCTGATAAAGAGTCCATTAGTCGAATGCCGTTTTAAAAGCTTCTACATGCAACATATCAATACATTTACTAACAGCTCGAGTTACTAGCAGCTAACTAGTCATATTACAGGTCACGTCCTTTAAAGAAGACACAGAAATCAACGGCTTTAACCTTCACAATTCACCATGAAGTTTTAAAGTAACGGACTACCGCAATAAAATACATTCACCTGATCGTGACCTTCCTATGGTTAAACATTTTACACACAAAACCAGTTTTAAAATCACATAAAACATCTCCCTGTACACAGCGGCTGCAGTTGCATTGAAAACAAACGTCAATAATCAATTCATTCCCTTAATACGCCCTAAATAACCCGCTCACATGGCATCCTTGATGAGATCAGCGAGTCTCCTAAAAGCCTGTGGATGAAGAGGAACGACCCATAAATGACAAAGTAAGCCCTTATTCTGAAGTACAGATGAATATCAGATGCGTTCTATTAGTGGTCAGTATATGCTATTAGCAGGCATAATATAAAAGAAGTTTCTGATTTGAAATGCTGTATATACAGTAGGCAGCAACATGATAAAACACAAGCAGGATCAAAAAAAATCCTGTTTCCAAAAGATAAGCAGCAGCACAGCTGTTTTCAACATTGATAATAACCAGAAATGTTTCTTGAGCAGCAAATCAGCATATTAGAATGATTTCTGAAGATCATGTGACACTGAAGACTGCTGAAAATTCAGCTTTGCATCGCAGGAATAAATTACATTTTACAATAGATTCACATAGAAAACGGTTATTCTAAATTGAAATAATATTTCCCAATATGACTGTATTTTTGATCAAATAAATGCAGCCTTGGTGAGCATAATATACATAAATATATCTGTGAATGTGTGTTGTACCTCATCGATCTGCTGAGGTGTGGAGAGAGAAAAGGCGGCTCTGACATACGGACACGGATCCGAGCTGTTGATGTTGAAAACTCCTCCAGGAACCAGAAGAACCTACAAACAAACACAATAAACCCGACAAGGATTCGAGAGGATTCTTCAAAGCCCTTTAATAAACACCTGCTGACCTCTTTTGATTAGAACTGAGACTTCTGTGTTTACAGCTGTAATTCTCACCGTCAATGCTCAAACAAGCAGAGCAATGTTTGGAAAGCACCACACGGTTTACTTCTTAAACTTATAATAATAAGCTGGAATAAGGAAAGTATTTTAACAACTAAAAACCTTCAGCTTTAAGCACAAATGTAAAAATGACCATGAACATGTTTTCAGAATGAAGTAAATGCAGTGAATGGTTCATAGGACTGGCATCATGTTCGCCTCAAACACTGAACGTGTGTGTGTGAGGCAAATCATGTGGTGTGTTTTCAGGATCAGGTGCTTCAGTTCATTTACATAGACACACACCACACGCACACACACACAATATTCAAACTTTGCTTTGGCAAAAGCCCCAGCAAACCTGCTGTACTGTATCATGAAGCATCAACGACACATACAAATGACTTTGCCTTTGATAAAGGAAAGGGGTTTCATACAGCAGTGAGTGTGTATTTGCTCATGTAGCAAATGAAAACATCATCACATTCAGCACAAATGTAAACTGTATTACACAGAGGCGTGTGAATGTGTGTGAACCTCTTTCTCTAGCGCTCTCTCCATTATCAGCTGCTGTGTGTCTTTAATGCCCTTGAGTTTAATCCACAGGAACATGCCGGCCATGGGAGGATGCCATTCAGCTACATCTACAAAACACACAGGAGAGAAAGAGAGAAAGCCATCCAAGCTGTAGATGAGTTTGTTTCTTCATCAGATTTGGAGAAATGTAGCATTGCATCACTTGCTCATCAATGGATGCTCTGCAGTGAATGGGTGCCGTCAGAATGAGAGTCCAAACAGCTGATAAAAACATCACAAGTAATCCACACCACTCCAGTCCGTCGGTTAATGTCTTGAGAAGCGAAAGCTGCATGTTTGTAAAAAACAAATCCATCATTAAGAGGTTTTTAAATTCTAAACTGTCGCTTTCATACGAGTCCTCGATCCATAATATTGCATTCTTCAGTGAAAGAGTTTGAACCAGGAGAGAAATATGCACAGATCAAGCACCGTTCATAAGCCAAAATGGTTTTAAACAAATAAATTGGTGGATTTTGATGTGAGAGGACAACAGCGGATGGACTTTTTTCACTGGAGGAAAAAGATTATGGAGTACGGACTTAGCCAGAAGCAACGGTTTGAAGTTAACAGCTGATAAAAACATCACAAGTAATCCACACCACTCCGGTGCGTCGGTGCGTCAGTTAATGTCTTGAGAAGCGAAAGCTGCGTGTTTGTAAGAAACAAATCCATCATTAAGAGGTTTTTAAATTCTAAACTGTTGCTTTCATACGAGTCCTCGATCCATAATATTGCATTCTTCAGTGAAAGAGTTTGAATCAGGAGAGAAATATGCACAGATCAAGCACCGTTCATAAGCCAAAATGGTTTTAAACAAATAAATTGGTGGATTTTGATGTGAGAGGACAACAGCGGATGGACTTTTTTCACTGGAGGAAAAAGATTATGGAGTACGGACTTAGCCAGAAGCAACGGTTTGAAGTTAAAAACATTAAGCTGACCAAAGGTCCAACTGAAGTCTATAAAAAGTTATAAATATAGAATACAATACAGCTATTACCAACAATTGAATTATACTAAGCAGAACCCTGTGGTAATTTCTATAATAACACAGTAATTTGATTGAACTCTTAGAGTCATTAAAATCATAAATCTCCAGCTCACCCGTCAATGTGCTTGAGAAAACCATCTGGACCCCAGTTATGAAGCAGCTGAGAGACCATGAGCTGAAAACACAAAGACTTTTCTGAGTATCATTATACAGTGGATACGCTAACAAGAGGCTTGGTTATTTTGCTTGGGCTTCAGTTTGATTCAGCTGCAAGAAATAAAGCGCTTTCTGATTCTGAAACATAATATGTGACCCTGGAGCACAAAACCAGTCATAAGGGTCAATTTTGTGAAATTGAGATTTATACATAATCTGAAAGCTGAACAAATAAGCTTTCCATTGATGTATGGTTTGTTAGGATAGGACAATATTTGGTCGAGATGCAACTATTTGAAAATCTGGAATCTGAGGGTGCAAAAAAAATCTAAATATTGAGAAAATCATCTTTAAAGTTGTCCAAATGACGTTCTTAGCAATGCATATTACTAATCAAAAATTAAGTTTTGATATATTTACGGTAGGTAATTTACAAAATATCTTCATGGAACATGATCTTTACTTAATATCCTAATGATTTTTGGCATAAAAGAAAAATCGATAATTTTGACCCATGCAATGTATTGTTGGCTATTGCTACAAATATACCCCAGCGACTTAAGACTGCTTTTGTGCTCCAGGGTCACATATGGCCTGTATTTTGCAGGTCACAATTAAAGCACCTGTGAATCTCATGCTTGTTTTTCTCACTGATCTCTTCTCCTGAGATTCACGCTGTAACCACCGCTCACCGCCGGGAGCCGAAACACACGTACAGCACAAACACAGCTCCTCCTGCTTATAAAATCCACCCCCACACACAGAGACACATTTCTGTGCTTTTACTGCACGTGTTTAGCAGCTGCGCATTAAAACCAGAACACAAGGCCTGTCTTATTTACGGATTACAGCTGGAACGAGGAAGAGCCCTCGGCTGCTGCTTCAGGAGAGAAACAGGATGGACAGGACAGTGAATGTGAGAGGTGTGACCTGTGTGAAGGTGCTGGTGTGCATCGTGGAGGCCTGGATGTGCAGCACCACTCGCTCCACCAGCGGCTTCGGTCCGGTGACGAAACCTATCCGTAAGCTGTCAGGAAAAACAGCACAATACACACAAATGATTCAAGAAATACCAAAGTTCAAAAAAAAAATTTTTGGTGCAATATAAAAACTATTGAATAAAATTCTATTTAATTGTACCTTTACATAAATAATTAATATAAATAAAAATTCATATAAAAGTTAATTCATATAATAACATTTTTAGTGTGTGTGTGTATATATATTTTTTTTTTACAAAATTATATACATACAGAATTATATATATATATTTATTATATTTTTCACACACACACACACACATATATATATATATATATATATATATATATAT